TTGCCATATTGTAAATTTGCCTTTTACTTTAAAGTATCAACATGACCCTTAATGTGTATAAAAAACATGTACAACAACATACTGCTAACTTTTCTCATCTCATTCATAATTATATTCACATACAAAATTATAAATCGTATACAAAATTATAAATCTTATACAAAATTATAAATCTTATACAAAAATAACCCTACATTTACATCATTGCATCATTTTGTTATTCTTATATATCATGGCAGCTTTTGTTATCTCCATTCTTCGTTGATTTTGATTGTGGCTTACGAGATCGTTTAATATTCGCGATCGATCCCACTCTCCAACAACCTATATTCAAATTGTCAGAACGTTAAGTATTGTAAACTACAGCATTCAATCGTCGACTTTTAACAATTTGACCACAAACAAATTTTTATTTCCACTTACAAAATCACCAGTTGCCCCTGTAGAACCGATCGATTCCATCCACATCATCACATACATGCCGTAATCATGTCTGTTACAAAATTTGAAAACCACACATGTCAATTATGATGAATACTACATAAATTAAGCTTTCTATTTGTGATAACATCTCATACCCATTCAATTGCTTATTCTTCTTATGCTCCACAAATTTGAAATTTTTCAAGGGATACTTTCCTAGAGATCCATAGGATTCAACCCAAATGCGTTTCTTATTATAAGAATCTAATATTTTAATCTGCATTAAAATAGAAGAAGTTATGATCCAAAAAAATTATGCATTATAATTTACATAATGTCCTTTCATACATACATACATACCAATCTCTTAGTATCATTCACTCTCTGTTTAGCTGCTTCAGTTGTAAACATATTATCATATATTGTTGCAACACGATCTACCATATCTAACACCAACAGATACCAATGTGAATTATGGTAGTTTATTGTGATCATGATCTGCAACAAATTTCACACCCAATTTGACAAAATTCAACATTCTATATCCGAAAACATCATTTGCAATTGGTATGGTGTCTTACCTTCTCACAGTCGATGAATTTCACATAGTTATTCAGTATGGGACCCCAGAAGGTAGCAATACTCTCAACACTTTCTTTGCTGTTGGCATCCAACGCCTGCTGCTGCAATTACGCAACAAACATTATTAATTTACCGTCTATAACACTACTTATCTCCATTTATTAATTTAACTCACCGCTAAGTGGTATGGAAGGTAGCCAATCCTCCGGAGTGACTTCTAAGAATCGTAGCATACTGTCCAAGCGAGCAAATCAATAACCTAACAAAATTAATTACACAATCAGAACATATTCAATAAGTTTTAACATTTTCTACTTTCTACTTACCACACCGCCAACCCATTCCGTAGGCTTCAACGTTGCAACGTCGTATACACTAGCGAATTGATTTCCTATTGAGATTACAGAATATCTGTATGAATCATTAGGATTAATATGTTGTCATTAAATATTTAAATATAACTCACAAAGCAATATATTTCACTTACTCCGATTCTAACTCACTATTCCATAAATAATCACAAATTGCAGCTTCGATGTCATCAATTCGGCTTGGAATATCCGCTTTTTCAACCTACAATTTTGCATACAAATTTTTGTCACAACAACATAATAAAAATCAAATTAAGTTTTCTTTTATTCAACTTACCTTCTGCTTCTTCTTCTGGGGTGTGGGACATTCCGAATCCAAATCTGCTGCTATAACACTCTCCGGTGTATAAATGACATCGACTTCATTCCTCCTCATTTCTTCCATCTCTTCTTCTTCCTCCTCCCTCTTTTCTTCTCTATATTTTTTCAGTTCATCATATTTTTTTTCTACATAGCTCTTCATCTCTTTTTATTTCACCCTTCAATTGATCTCCTTCATCCAAGTTTTTATCAACCACCCCCTTCACCCCCGTAAGTTCACTCCTCAATTCCACAACCTCCTTCACCACTCCCTCAAAATTTTCACCCGTCACCATCTTAATATCACCCCTTAACACCCCAACTTCTTTCACCACTTCACCCCTCAACACCTCTACTTCTTTCACCACTCCATCTATTTTTCCTTCCACTACCCCCTTATGCCTCTCAAGTGTATCTTCGACTCTCTCAAGTTTCTCTTCGACTCTATCAAGTTTCTCTTCGACTCTTGATTGTCTTTGCATGGTATCAAATTGGATTTTTTTGATATCAGCCAATTCAGACATCAAAAAATGTCGAAGTTACTATGTTTTCCCTCACCGTCGTCCCACTCAGCGTCATCCCCCAATACAACCATCTCTCCTTTCTTCTCCTCTGCCTCCACTGCCTCCTCTACATCCTTGCCAATAACCTTCAAAATTAAATTACAATATTAAGACATTGATTATATTCTTAATATTATTTAATTACATTTATTACCCTTTCTTGCTTCTTCGCTCTATCCAACTTCAACTTCACCATCACTCTAACCACCTCTTCCTTCCCCCATGCACGGATGTGTGCCACTCCGGTTCTTTCATAAGCCGGCACTGCCTCACAGCCCGACCAAAAATCGAACAGTGCAACCTGCATTTATAATAAAATTTATATTTTTATATAAAAACACAAAAAAGTTCTTCAACTCATTTACCTCTAAGATTGCTATGCACCCTTTGAGGTATCTCTGGCTGCCCTTTTTATATGTTCCTTGTTCGTTGACGTATTACCCGTTGGACAAAGAAAGATACCGATAAGGTATAATAGAACTCTGGCCTTCAGCTCATCCCCAACGTAAGATCCACTTTTTATTTCCTCTTCAATTTCAGCATATGTCACCTTCTGCTTCAAACCATATTTGGAGGCAAGTGCTTTCCAGTCCTTACTCTTACAGACTTCTACAACACTTTTGCCTTCATTTTCTACCCCCAATACGGCTGCAGCACATGGGATCCCGAGAGGAAATGAAAAATCACCATACTTAGCAATACATTGTCTGACATCAAATTGCGCCATCAAGGATCGACACAATTCCCTCCGAATAGGTCGATCATTTACTCCTACCAACGATCCAAAACCTATTTCTCCCAGCACATTCAACTGACCATTCTCCTTAAGGTGTTTAATTAATGAATTCACCCTTTTAATGCTGCATCTTGTCGACACTTCCTACATTTTTTAACAATATATAATGTTATAGTTCTTATATATTTTTGTATCAACGTATTTACAAGTTTAATGAATACCTTATTTTCATGTGCTTTCCTCCGTTCTTTGTATTCTTTACTATCATTCCTTGACTGTGTGATGTAAGGTTCCTTTTCAGCATCACTAATTGAATTCCATTTGGACCTCACATTTTTTGTCACCTAATATTAAACATAAACGTTTCTTAATCAATACATTAACTCTAAATACTACTTAATGTCAATTTCATTTTACATACCGAACCGCTCTGTGTGCCATCTTCCTTCATCTTTTTGCATTCGGCCATACTGTCAACATTTAAAATTTGTAATCAATTTAAAGTTTATCGATACTTTAATCCAATTACCATTTCAACAATAATAACAAAAAGACATTGATACTTACTAGAAGTACATATATCCACCCTTTGGTTGCTTTCGAGTCTCGGCCTCAATTTCAAAGTCATCTGCTCCACCAATAATTTTCCAACCCATTGACTTCATTTTTCCTTCATATATCAGTTTACGCAAATCAAATTATTTTGTTACATACATTTTATTCAATATACAAATATAGATAACTACTCTTGTGGTAAAACGGTTTTCTTCAAAAGAATTTGAATGGCCACACCAAAATGTGTCGGCACATTTATACAACATATAATATCATTTTCTACCTATAATATTTAATAAAAGTATCGACATTTATATTTTTCCTTGAATATCACTTTATACCTGCAATCGGTCCCAAATGCTTCTTTACTCCAAAACCCCAAACAACACATAAAAACCCTATCGCGATTACTGTAATAATAAAAAATTAGGGTTTCGACAACATACTTTTCGATTCGACTGCAGCAACAAACAAACAAACTTCGCTTTAGAAACGCCTTCTGAAATGCAGCAACAATTACGCTTCGATTTCAAAAACTCGTCCGTTCTATTTATTTTCAGAGGATATTTAGCTATGACCTTTATATTTTCATCGGATATGTTATTTATATTTAATCGATACAAATACAAAAGTGTCGATACTTTTATGTCAGGTGTCGATACTTTCGAAAGGATAATTACCTATTTCTTTGAAAGTGTCGATAATTTATTACACGTACTTACGAAAGTATCGACACTTTCAATATATCCAGTATCATTTTACCGGTTTTATCATTTTGATACCGGTTTTATCATATTTTTACCTGTTATATCGTTGTGGATCGATATATTTTTTTAAAGTATCGACACATTATAGGCGCTAAAACTGCTTCTCTTTTAAATTCACAAAGTGTCGATCCTTATATAAAGTATCGACACTTTCAATATATTTGGTAACGTTTTACCGGTTTTATCATTTTGTTACCGGTTTTATCATATTTTTACCTGGTATATCGTTTTGGATCGATACATTTTTTAAAAGTATCGACACTTTATAGGATTTAAAACTGCTTCTCTTTTAAATTCACGAAGTGTCGATCCTTATATTAAAGTACCGACACTTTAAATGTATCCGGTAGCGCTTTACCGATTTTATCATTTCAATACTGGTTTTGTCATAGTTTTACCTGTTATATCGTTTTGGATCGATAAATTTTTAATTTAGATCGACACGAACCGACAAGTTAAGTTTGCCGGTTACACAATTTTTTAATATTTCTTCATGACTTAGACCTACTACATTATTATTAGACAACATTTCCGGTAACGCTAAACTAAATTTATTAAATATCTTTTAATATATCCGATAACACCGTATATTAACCATATATTAACCCGTCTTTCCTGATACATTCTCCCAAAATTTATCGAGTGACTTCATATATAAATATGTCGATTTACAGGTATAAGATAGACGGATAAACCCGTGTTCAACTCGGATCTTTTATAAACTTTAGCATCTTGATACCGATGTACGGTTTGATTTCCGAATATTAATAACTCCACGAAAATCCGAAACAATGCCAGTGAGAGTCGAGGAGAGCACACCTTCTCAAGTTTCAGGTTTTTCCTTTTTCATTTTAAATTCCCTTATTAAGAATTTTGAATTTGATCTGGGTTGTTAAAGTTTCTATCTTTTTTTCCCATTTGTATTCGATATATTTGTTCGATTATGAAGGTAGCAATTCCGGAGATACTTCACCCCCAGCTTGTTCACTTCTGAGTGTTGGACAGGTCAATGAAATTTCCCTTTTTTTATTGTTCCTTGGGACTTTGAATTTTTAATCGTGTTCCTTAAAACCCTTATGAATCCATTGATAATTCGTTATTATGGGAGTTTGATTTTAGTTTCTGAATAGTTCTCTTTTTTTAAAATGTTAGATGGTTTGGGTTAGTTTACTGCGTATCATTTTATTTTGGGACGAATTTATAAAAATTTAGGAGGGGGAAGTTATAAAATTTTCGGAGGCGAAAATATATTATCAATAGAAATTAGTTTACTGCATAGTCTTGTTCCTACCTATCGAGTGGAACTTTCTATGTGTTAATCCTTTAGTGGATTGTATGACAACATTGTTTTATTTGCAGACATTTTCTGGTACACAAAATGTCTCTAGTTTACAAAAAGAGGAAGCTTGGAGAGTAAATGTCCGAATACAAGGATGTGATCTCGAACATGGGTATCTTTGTGGGACAATGGAAGCTCTAAATGTTCCTATGGCTGATACACCAGTAAGTTGAATGCTTTAACCGTCCGGATAGGTTTTGAAATGTTTGCTCGGAGTCATCCTCTTAAGTTTCATAGTGTAATGGTTATTTGATTTTGCAATGTTTGATGAATTTTTTTCCATGGAAAGCTTATCAAGTTTTATTTTAACATGGACATTGTCGTCTAGTTTGACTATATTCCGTCATACGTCTTCATTTCTAATACTTCGTGGATTTTAGCTGCCTAAGTTTTCCCTTTCTTAATCTTCTTGCATTAATCTGTTATCATCATGGTATACCCAAGAGGCGTTATCACTTATGGTTTTACTTCTTTAATACAAAGGGCGATGGATATGACATGTGGTAATGAAGAGATATTATGCATTTTCTTTTCAGATTGTAAGCGGTTGTTACCACTTCTGCAATTGTTTCCTAAATGCGTCCTTGTTGACACCAAGCCAACATGGGAAATCTAGTCCAACTGCGGAACTTTTGATCTTACCTCTTGCACCGTTTGTGTTTTACGTTTTGATGTTTCTCAGGTGGTAACCTTTTGGGAAGGGGAGATTGTTGATACAAAGAATTATACTTTCTATACCGGCAAGTGGGAAGCATCGTATGGTTCTTTCTTTTGTTCGTCTTTGCATTGAAAGATGGAAAGTAGACATGATTCATTTCCCCCTTTTAACAATTTTTATAAATCTATTAATAGGCCAGAGGATGATAAAATGCATTGGTCAAAGTTTCCATCTTTTTCGCCACTTCTGGTAAGGAGTTGTGCTTTTGTAACCCATATACGCCTAAACTGTGCTCATTTTTCTGGTTTGTTTCTTTTCAGAGTCAAGTAGAGGTCGATGGTGGAAAATCTTTGGACCTGAGTAGCTATCCGTACATTTTTATGGTAATATAATCTCATTTGTTTTCATTAATTTGAAAATTTCCTTATACATTGGCTGATGATCGGTAACCTCTTTGTTTCTATTATTTTCCTGGTTCAGAGATGGAAAGAGCAATACTTTGTAAATGTTGGAACAGACTGCGGGCTGACCATAGCCGGGTTTTACTACGTTTGCTTCTCTTGTAGCGATGGTTCTATCAGTGGCTTCTATTATGATCCTAATAGCAGGTAACTGTATTTCTTCATGGTATTCCATATTTTTTGTTCATTATTCAATTAAGGAGGACTCGTTTCTAGTTCTCCAAATAATTCAGCAACCTATAACCGAGTCAATGACAAATATTCAACTCTTGTCATTTCTCCTTTCTCTGTTGTGTTCAAATGTTTGACCAAATTGTTCTGAAGAACATGCAGCCCTTTTCAGAAGCTTGAGCTGAAACCAACAAACGAAGGAAGATCAGGATTCAGTTTTTCGTCATACGAATTGCAGTGAATAAGAATGCAGGATGTTGATTCCAATATATATAACAAGGGACAACGGATTTCTCAAATAGATGTGAAACTTCATGACTTGTATTTCCATATGCCTGTTTTTGCGATGTTGAGACTTTGATGATGTAGTAATCACCTGGAATGTAAGACATATTGATCTTTCTTCCAAATCTTTTCGTTTGAACGTAATTCTCCAAATCATGAACCAGATCGAATCGCTGTTTATATGTTTGTGGTCTCTTCCGTGAGTTCTAAAACATTGACTGATGCTTGCAATTTGATGGTAATAAACAGGGTCTATAATCAGGTATATAATCAAACACATGATGTTAAAGGGTATACAAACATTCTGTAGGCAAGGCATGGGCAGGTATTTTTGGTGTCATAAGGCCGAAACAGTCGGTTGCCTGCTCTGATTAGTTGGTTTCAGTGTGCAGTTACTGCGGCCTTATGATCCATTCAGTTGAAAGCTGGAATGTGTTCCCTCGAACATGGATAATAAAAATCAAGTTGATTTTTTTTTTAAATTTTTAGTTATTGAAGTTAATTTGAATTATTGAATCATTTTTTGAGTTCAAGTTGAGTTAGAATTTAAAAATTTCGAGTCAATTGAAATTTTAGTTGAGTATTTTGACCAAATCTATGGTTTCTTTATTCTTTCAATCATTCTTTCATTTTAATTCTTTTTTTAATTAAATTTGAACCATGTACTTCTAAACTACTGTTGAATACATATGCATCTTCAATTTCTTTCTTATGATAAATTTTCTTTTTTTTTAATTTAATCTGTCAACTTTGTATGCTTTCTTCAAAAAAAAAATCAATTCATTTTTTGATTTAATTCCATTTTTTTACCAAATTTGAACTACAAACTCTTCTACCACTATTGAATATCCATGTAACTTCAATTTTGATTTTTAACTATGAATTTATTCTTTTTTAATTTAATCTCTTAACTTTGCATTTTATTCAATTTGGTCTTTTAGCTACAATTTTTTTACAAATTCTTTTTTATTATCAATTCCTTAAATCATATATGCTCTCATCAATAATTTATCCACAAAATAATTTTTTTGAAAATAATATTTATAAATATATTTTATAATTTTAAACTGTATTTGATTTATTAAATAACATTACAATATGAAAATGAATAAAAAGAAAAATATATATTTATATCTCATATGATTAGAGAAGTCATTAATTAGAACTAATCTATATCCTACTGTTATAAATAATTATCATTACATTTATATAAAAACTCGAACAATTTGATTCAAAAAATTTTAAATAAAATAAAATTTAAGTAATAAAATATGACTCATCAATTCGACTAACTTTAAATTTTTTTTAATTCGGCTCTATGAAAAGCACCCTTCTGCCGAACTCGATGCCCTGCTTAAACTACTTTGATTATAATAATAAAGAAGCGACCGTGTTTCTTTACCAATGTTAAGGTGGCTGAACATTAATGGAACGAGCTCAACCATCCTTTTATATATATATATATATATATATATATATCGGCACCAGCATTTACCTCACTTCATGAGGTTCGTCTCCTCCCTTTTATGTCTGCCCCATTTCTCCATCCCAACTACACCCCACAAGGCCACAACTCCTTTTGCTTATAACCTCCTTTAAACGGCAAAGCCCACTTAGCCTCCATCGTTTTACCCCTTTGTTTTCTGCTGCCAAAATGGGATGTACAGTACAAAGGTGACAATCATGTCAGACCAGCCTCCCTAAGTGGCATTATCATTGAAGAATTATACAACTTTTTACGTACATTTTTCCTTTCTCGAGATTTGAAAACAGAATCGCAATGGACGATTTGCTTTGTGATGAGGTATGGCTTTCGAGTCCTGAAACTGAATATTGTAGGTTGAAGGACAATGGCTATGCAGATTCATTTTACACGACGAAGGAAGACTCCGAACAGGCTATTGTAATATGCCTGGAGAAAGAGCTGAGTTACATGCCTGAACCTGGTTATCTTGATTATCTCCTGTCTAGTAATCTGGTTTTCGCTAGATTCAGAGCGGTTCAATGGCTTATCAAGGTACATAATTTCTCCTAGTTATCAGATTTCAATAGGGTTTTATTCTTTTATTGTAAATCTCAATCAATTCTCTCTATTTGTATGTTTCTTTTCAGACTTGTTCTCGGATAAATTTTTCAAATTGGAACCGTTTTCGGTGAATTACCTAGATCGTTTCATATCAACGAGTCAGTGCCATGTAAGGAACATTAAAATTCTGGGTTTCATGTCTTCTTCTCAACTCTGAAGCATTAAATCATCTAATTTTTCTAGGGATGGAAGAATTGGATGGTCGAGTTACTATCCATTCCATGTTTATCCATTGCCTCCAAGTTCAACGAGACTTCCTTGCTTCCATGGATTAACTTCATAACTACCATTATCTGACAATGAAGATAACTATTCCATTTCCGTTATATATTGATCAGTGTATTTTATGAACTGAGGATGGAGGACTTGGAGCATTGTTTTCAATCAAGAACAATCCAACAAATGAAGTTGATGGTGTTGCAGGCTTTAAAATGGCGTCTTTGTTCCACAACAACGTACTCCTATATAGAACTGATTACATCAAATATCATCTGTGATCTCAGTTATTACCTTCAAAAGGAGTTAATCAACCAAGTTAATAAAACACTTCTCAAACCCATATTAGGTATATGCATATAAAATATAATTAAACATTCCCTCTTTTCTTTCTTTTTTTTTTCTTGAAAATAAATGATCTTATAATCTTAACTTGCGTGCAGATTCCAAGTTGCTGCCATATCCACCAAGCTTCGTTGCAGTATCTGCACTATGGTGTAATCCGGAAGCTTCCATCTCACGAGGTAATCCCATCATTATGAAGCTCATAAACCAAGATCACGAGGTAAAGGTTTCCTTATCTTGAAATATATACTGTTCCATTGATTATATGACTAAAATATTTGGAGCAGGGATAATATATTTTAACCCCTAAAATTTTTTATAATTGTGCTCATTTTAAAATATTATAATTCTGTCCACTAACATAAAATCATGCATTAATCCATTCTGTAACTTGAAAGTTGCAGAGCATTACCCTTCAAGTCCAGTGACTGTGTTGTTGATGGAGAGGATTGTTGATATCATTGATTGTCGGGTCGATCTTTCGGTATTCGGGATGCCATTGCCGGGTTCAAATGTTGATAATGATGGTGGGAATAAAAAGAAAAGAGAAGAATAATGGAGATCCAGGAAAATCAATGGTTTTACGAAAAGCCATGGTTTGGACTTTGAATAAGGATAATAGGAATAATGTTGAGCATATCGTCTTTTCGATTTCGGCCCATGCATTTAATCTTTGTTGCTGTCGGAACCGTCTTTCGGTTGGGTCCGAAATTAGGTTTCGACTTAGGAAAATAGATTATGAGTCGCCACCGATCTTTTATTTTAAACAAAATGGGTTGACCGGATACCTTATTTCTTACCTGATCTGCGTCTTTTCAAAGATGTGTCAGATTCGGGAGTCGGTTACAGTCAAGGAAGGGTTAGCACCCTTGAATTGTCCTTTCGGTACTTTGTAATTTCCAATTGTCTTAAATTAAGAAAGTTGTAACTTTAAATTAAAAGGTAAAAATTGATCCGACTTACTTACATCTGACAAATTTACGGAAATACCCTTAAAAGATGAAAATGTTAGAAGTAAAAAAGAAGTGAATAAATAAAGAAAAACAAGTAAAATAAAGCAAAAGAAAATAATATAAAAAAGTAAATAAAATAAATAAAGTAAAATAAAACAAATAAATAAATAAAATAAGAAAAAAGGATAAAGAAAATAAAAATAATATTGACAACATACACATGCAAGATAAAAAATAATAAATAGAAACATAAAAATAAAAGAAATAAATAACTAGAAAAAAATGGACATGTATAAAAATGTTAACAAGATGAGAAGAATAAAATAAAATAATAAATTAAAAATGAAGATGAAGATGAAAACCAAAATAAAACATGTAAAATATAATAATACTATAATATATAGTAATAAATAAAAAAACCAAAAATAAAAAAAGAGTAAAGTAATAAAAAAAGAAATATAGGTAAATATGTATATAAAATAAAACAAAAATAGTGTATATATATATATATATATATATATATATATATATAACAAAACATAAAATAATACAAACGAGAATATAGTAATTATAGTAAGGGATCAAATTGAAACAGAAGCAAAATTAAGGGGGCAAATTGCAAAGGAAAATTGAGGATTAAATTCGATTTGGGACATAATTGCGCCTTTGAAATACGGGGACCATAATGGGATTTAACCCATTTTTGTTTGAAAACACGTGGACCCAGCAAAGCGGGTCGAGTCCAGGCGCGGGTTTCGGATCGGACGTGGGCTGAGTATAAAAAGCTAAGATTTTTTAAAAATATTCATTTCTCTCTTCTCATCAGCCAAGACCCCCTCCCTCTCTTTAACATTTCTCTAAAATGTTCTTCAGATATGAAGAACTCGACTGGGTTCTTCAATGAATCCAGTATCCGACCACCACAAATCGTTTACACCGCCACTGTTCATCGGCGGCAAAAATTTTATTTTTATTTTTTTCAAAATCTTGAAAGCTGTTTAAACCTTGTTTCCAAAAATCACAACGTTTTTTTTAAAAACACAAGCCTCGGGGGTTAGATCTACGAAGGGAGATCTCGAAAAGCCCCCTATTCATCGGCCAAAAAAACCTTTTTTTTTTGCTTTCTTTCGAATCGAAACAAAGTGGAAACGAACAAGAACCCACATGCAAGCGAGGCAAAATAAATAAAAGGTAAGGGTTTTCTCCTTTTTTATTGCTCTTCGAACTAGTTACAAGGCTTGGATTCTCTATATTTTCGATATCTCTCATAAATGCTCTCTGTATATTGTGTGTAATATCGTGTATAATATGTGTGTGGCTAGTTGTGCTTCCAATCTTCTGTTACAGTGTGCAAATTTACATCAATTTATAGGACTGAAAAGTCATATTTTTAGACTTGATTGAGTGTTTCATTTTGAGTATAACACTGATACTTGTGTTTTGTTGGCCTGCTTTTCTTGTGTCGGACGTTGCGGGGTTTCTGGTGGTGAGACGTGCGGCCGTGAAACTCGGGTATTTGACCGAGAAACTTGACTGAGCGGCGTGAAGCATGAAGAAATCTCAGGGGGGAGCGTACGACGTGGCTGTAATCTTGGCTAAGGTTTGAGACAACCCTAGATACCTTTGTTGTGGACCGTTAGATCTCATCTAGATCCAACGATCACTGTTGCTGGCGGCTGGAAGCATAAGATAGGAAAGCTTGGGTTTTCTGGAAACCCTAATCTACTGCATGTAGGCTTACTAGTTTGGGGTCTAACGGGCTGCTGGGTAGTAATTTATTTGGGTCTGTAACCAAACAAAACAAAATGTGAATATATATATATTATAAAGTAGCATAAATATGTAATGAAACGTATTATATAGCAAGGTTAAATTAAGGGACAAAATTCGGTGTCTTCAGCTGCCCCTCTTTGCTCATTATCGTGTAACAAAAATATAGCAAAGATTACAAGACACAAATTTTGTCTATATCAAACATCCTTTGTCGTAGAGTTGAAATCCGATATTGAAGCTGATATGTCGAAGTGACACCCTCGCCGTGAGGTTGAGTTGAACTGGAGACTTCTGAGTACGAAATCCTTCGTCGTGAAGTTGAAATCGAACTCAGAGTATTATAAAGTGGCCTCTGAATCATCTTCTGGCCCAAGATACTTCGTCGTGAATGTGAAACTTGTCCTGAAGACTTCGGTGTTATAGCTGACTCCTTCGTCATGAAGTTGGGTCAATCTGTTGGGGTACGATACCCTTCGTTGTGGAGATGGAATCATATATGGCCCATTCGTCGTGAAGTTGAGCCTGGGAATTGGATATCCTTCGTCGTGAAGTTGAAATTCAATGTAAGTTGCTTTGTTTTGAGGCCAATATCCTTTGCCGTGAAGTTGAAATTGACTCTGAAACTAGAAAGTTTATTGGCAGACACTTCTTCTTTGATTTGGATATCATTCGTTGTGAAGTTGAAATCCAATCTAGAGATGGATGCTTCTTGTGCGCACGATTCCCTTCGCCGTGAAGTTGAAACCGCGGGTGGCCCCTTCGTCGTGAAGTTGAGCTTGGAAATTGGATATCCTTCGTCGTGAAGTTGAAATCCAAGTAAGTTGTATTGTTCTGAGTCCAATATCCTCCGCCGTGAAGTTTAAATTGGCTATGGAACTGGGAAATTGTTTGTTGACAGCCAGCCACCCCTTCGATGTGAAGTTGAGATTGTGTTGTCTCGAGTCCAATATCCTTCGATGTGAAGTTGAAATTGACTCTGAAAAGTTGTTTGTTGACAGTCAGTCGCCCCTTCGCTGTGAAGTTGAGCTTGTGTTGTCTCGAGTCTAATATTCTTTGCTGTGAAGTTGAGCTTGTGTTTTCTTGAGTCTAATATTCTTCGCTGTGAAGTTGAAATTGACTCTGAATGAAACTGAAAAGTTGTTTGTTGACAGTCAGTCGCCCCTTCGCTGTGAAGTTGAAATTGACTCTGAAAGAAACTGAAAAGTTGTTTGTTGATAGTCAGTCACCCCTTCGCTGTGAAGTTGTGTTTGTGTTTTCTTGAGTCCAATATCCTTCGCTGTGAAGTTGAAATTGGCTCTAGCTAAAACGTGCAAAGATATGCATATATGCGATGTTATGGATGCAATGCTCTTAGGTATGCCTAAAATGCATATGCAACATATGTTATTCTGGGCTCTGGAGAGAAATCTCAATCTCTGGTTGCCTGTTGTGTTGACTCTTGATTTTGGAATCTGGAAGTTCTGATTCCCGATCTTGAATTATTCGAATGTGTAAATATGATGTTCTTTGTTTCTTGATTTGGGAAATTCTTCTCAACCATCTCAAGTATATGCATGAGCCTTGATCGGTTTTCGAGTATCTGTACTTTTCAATGAATTTTTGTACAATAATATGTGATTATCTTTTGCAGAAGTAAACAAATCATTAGGTTTAAATTCAATCTAAGATGCTCAAAAGGAATTGATTTAGAGAAAAGATTGTTTTTATTCATGAGGGTAAAAGAACAAATAGTACATGATAAACATTTTGGGCAATGAATACATGATGAAGTGTGAATGAATGTCTTAGATCTCGAAAATGTGGGCGTTTCTGAGCTGAAAAGCCATTAGGTGACTTTGAATGCAACTTTTGTCAAGGAATCTTCGAAAACGCGACAACGTTCTAGAGAGTGCAACCTTTCTCTGACTTGTTGAGTTTGTAGAAGATTCAGGTGTCGGGATGTTTCCACTGTCAATATCCAAATCGCCCTTTTCGAGTTTTCAACTTGGACTCATCATTGGTCGCAAGACGCCCTTTGCGGGTTTTCATCTTGAACCCATTTTTTTTTCTTTTTTCTTTTGTTCTTTTTTCTTTTTCTTTTTTTTTTCAAAATAGGACGCCCTTTCGGTTTTTTGCCCTAAACGTTTTTCTCTTTACCATTTTTTCTTTTTATTTTTTTCTTTTTTTTCAACTTAGGACGCCCTCTCGGGTTTTCATCCTAAGCGAAGTATTTCTTGACTGCATCCGAGTTGATGGGATATGACAATTCAGGTCCGTCCATTTCAGCCAGGACAAGGGCTCCTCCAGAGAAGGCCTTTTTCACGACAAAAGGTCCTTCCCAATTTGGTGTCCATTTTCCTCGGAAATCTTTCTGGACTAGATAAATTCTTCTTAGCACCAAATCTCCTTCGCAAAATATTCTTGGGTGTACATTTTTGTTATGTGCTCAAATCATTCGCTTCTGATAGATTTGACCGTGATGAATGGCTTTCAGTCTCTTTTCATCTATCAGGTTCAGTTGATCATATCGGGATTGCACCCATTCTGCATCATCCAGTTTAACTTCTGTCAAGACACGGAGTGACGAAATCTCTACTTCAGTGGGTAGCACTGCTTCCATTCCATAAGCTAGTGAAAATGGAGTTGTCTCAGTCGAGGTTCGTACCGAGTTTCGGTAAGCGAACAAAACAAAATGCAACTTTTCATGCCAGTCTTTGTAGGTCTCGGTCGTTTTTTCCACTATCTTCTTAATGTTTTTGTTTGTTGCTTCTACTGCTCCATTCATCTTTGTTCTATAAGAAGTAGAGTTGTAATGTTTTATGTTAAATTGCTCACAAGCAACATTCATCATCTTGTTGTTCAAGTTTGTAGCGTTATCGGTGATGATCCTTTCAGGTAGACCATACCGACATATGATCTCTTTTTTCAGAAACTTGCAAATAGTGGATTGAGTGACACTAGCGTATGATG